GAGTGTCCCCCTGGAATATGACCAATTCTGTTCATCATCGATACATTCATTTCAATATTGACAGCTTATCTAGTAATTTATTCACTAATAACAATGGAAATCTCTACTATCCTTCCAAACACTGAAAGAGGCTGGAAGCTTCTCCTATACAAAGAGAAACTCACACCAATTCTCCTTCAGTGGTGAGCCTCAGTTTTAGAAGCATGCCCAATTCACTATTCTAATTCATGATAATTTAATTAGTTTCTTCAATCCAATTTGAACTAATGAAATCATATATCATATTAATTTTTGTGAACTTGCTTATCTGTGTTGGGGAACAGCCCAGTGGAAGTAATGGAACTTCAGGGTTTTATGTCTCCAGCTAAGGCTTTTGTGTTGACCCCTTCCACTGCCCCATACTCCTCCTTGGTAAACAATGCAGTGAATAACTTTCCACAACCCACCCAAGTTATGGCAATACTATCATCTGGCACTCACATTGGCTCTAAGCTCCAAACACAGATAAGCAACCAGTCAGTTGGTGACCATGGCACAAGTTGTGATCCCCTGAGAAATGCAACAGAGGAGCAGAGACTGACATTGCACACTCTTCCCTAAGTTTGATTATCTACTTTGATTTGTGTTAGACCTCCAAGTCCCAGACACCTGGTCTGGTCATCTGACACTCAGATGTCAAAAGAGTCACAGGTCAACCCACTTGGATACCACTTTACTTATTTCTATTAATCTGACTGCTGTATACTAGATAGACATCAAATGTTTGTGCTTTGTATTAGTTGCTATTTATCTGTCAATTTATAGGTTGTGGAAATCAAACACATGCGTATGGTGCATAATGGTAACATCCCTTGTTCACTGGCCCACTTATAATACTATCATGAGTATAAGCACATGGAGAATATATGTCCCTTCATAGATGCACACCGATCTGCTACAGACATATTCATTGACTGGGACTCATTTGCCACCATGCTCATCACCAATCCAGAATCAGACTGATTTTTCTCTGTCATTTCTACTTTCTCTCCTAAACTTGTCTTATAAAGAATATTCTCCCACCAGTGAGTTTGCTTCAATAATAAATCTGTTTTCTTCACATGTGTGAGTCTATTTGCTACTATGAATAATGGGGATTGCACATGTGGTGAGATTTCACACTATTTGGTCACGCAAAGAGTAACCTTCAATGCCATCCACACAATGAAAAATTTAAGCACTACTAACACATGTCCCAAGATCTAACCTAGCGATATCCCCCCCGGGAGTACAATTCTGGGGAGATAAGTACAGAACAAGGAATAAAAGATGACCCTCTCTTCCATAGACCCTTGCTGATGCATTTATCAGAGTTTCAGATACATGTCGTTCATCATCTGAGACTCATATACTGGCAGTTATGATCAGTGATCCAGGGACAGGCAAATCTCTCTTCCTTCTTACCTACAGTGTTTGGTTAGAAATTCATTAATTCACTAGTGATGCCTCATACGCTATTTGGGATATAATATCTACTAAGTTTGGCTTTTCATTATGTCAATTATTCAGTTCAAATATTCATCATAGTCCCAAGATGAATGCACGAGAGTTGTTTCTGAATGTTTCTAAAACAGAGAGTAAACTGTCCAAGACAAACAATACAAGATCGATACCTATTACTCACTCTGATTTCCAGATTCCAGTGAGAAATAAAACGACTGAGCACCAACCATGGAGAATTCCAGCCTCGGCTCAGACGATTCCATTGGGAAGAGCATAGAGTGGAGCAGACAAACAGAAAGAAAATGAAAAGCTGGGACATTCTTTTCACAGAGCTTTGATTTTTAGCATTGCTTTCTCAATTGATTTATTCACTCATTAATTTAATGATGCATGCTTTTACCTTAGCAGAAGATATGGAAACAATTTAATTTAGAAACAAATTTAAAATAGCCCTGCATACAGATGATAAACAACGCTGGAGAGTCTAATGTCTATGATAGCTGGGCATGGTTGCCTAAGAGTTACAGTTATTGCCCACCGAGATTTACTGTTCTGACGACAACACATCCAAGTGCTCCTGATGCACTTCATGTTTATATTTGTTCAGTACATCAGTAATTCTAGTTCTACTACTTAATTCAATGACAGAATCAACATATGTCCACATAGGTGCCACCACACGGACCTTAGTTGTTCCTACATATGTCTAGAGCAGTGGTTCTCAACCTTCATAATGCTGCAACCCTTTAATTCAGTTCCTTATGTTGTGCTGACCCTAACTATACAAGAATTTTTGTTTCAGAACTGCAATTTTGTTACTGTTATGAATCATTTTGTAAATATGTGAGATGCAGGGAATCTGATATGTGCCTCCAAAGGGGGTTGTGAGCCACAGGTGGGGAAACATTGTGCTAAGGCATCTCTAGGCATATCAGATGTGTGACTGATGTGATAGCGTCGTTCAGTCCCCCAAAGGATTCATGAACCACAGGATTGTCTTCAACAGAGAAAATGGACTTTTCTACATTTTAGTTGTCTATTAGAGTCCAGATAGGTTTCATGCATTATGTGAGACCCACCCTCAGCACCTGCTATCAACACTGGTTCATGTTTACACCTGTGATTTTTTATTTGAATTTACTTTATTTGTAGTTATTAATTAAAACAAATCAATAAAGTAGCCTGATTCACAAAAGGGAACATAATGCTTGACGGGTTAACATCTGTCTGTAGAATCCTATTCACTTGAGACTTTCTCTTTCGTTAACTGGCCTCAGTGTAGCAGTGAAACACAACAACTGAAATCAATCTCTTGTTAGGCTCTGGTCAACTGTTCTTCAGATTACCACTGCCGCATCCTTGTGTCTATCATGATTCTTTATCCACTCATCAGCTAATGGCTATTCAAATCTATCCCGTCTTGGCACCTGTAGATTACACTTCAGAGAAAAGGGAAGTGCAGGTGTCTCTTTGACAAAAATGCATCATTTTCTTTCCACCCAGACCAACTGATTGGTTAAATGATCTGGCAATTAATTCTATGGGGGTTTTGTTTTTTGTTTTGTTTTAAGGAATTGCCATGCTGTTTCCTATGATGTTCTATTAGTTCACATTCCCATAAAGAGTGCACAAAGGAAGCACTCTATTGAACACTTGGCTAGTTATTGTTATCACTAGACTGTTTTGATAATAGTCTTCCTTCCTGGAGTGATGGGGCATCTGGTTGTGGTTTTGATACGCATTTCTCTGGTGAGCGATTACACTGAACATTGCTTATAGATTTCTGGGCAATTTGTATGCCTCTTATGTCTATTGATCATTATTTATTTACTGTTTGTGGTTTTAGCTATTGAGTTTTGGGCTCCTTGTTTTCCCTAGATATAAGAAACATTATAGGTACTTTTGTGAATTTTAGGGAGATGGATGGAGCTGTAGATGATCATGTTGAAGGAAATAGGCCAGGCACAGAAAGACAAACAAAGAGTGTGAGACATGAAAGAGTTCATCTAGTGGGAACTGAGAGTGGAGTGATAGTTATCCGATGGGGGAAGAGAATGCAGAAAAGTTGCTGTTCCAGTTCCATGACCTTCACAAGCTCTGGGGTGTTGTGTGTTGTGGAGAAAGCCACAATGATAGTTTCTTAGTGTCTTAAAGGGGTAGAAAAGAAGATAGTGGAATCTCTAAATAATGAGGAGATTATTATGAGGTGATGGATATGCTTAAACTGACTGGAGAATTACACTAAGTAAGCATGTATAAAGAGACTTTAAGGAATCACTTTGATCAAAACCATTTCTGTTTCGTATTGGATAAAATGAGGGAAAACAAAGATGGCATCAAGTTACTACATTTTTCTTCTGCCCTGTCCACAGCTACTATTAAAAGCAATAGTGCATGGTTATTTCATTGTCTGCTCCTTAAAAAAAAAAAACAATACTTAACATAACACAGTGGCTACCTTTAGTCAATTAACCAAGGAAATTAAAATGTTGGCTGTTACTTACAGTGCAAACAGGGATGTCGATGAAGGGATGTTCTCAGCTCAGCACCTCCATCTGAGGAGTACAAAGCAGAGAAAGAGGGAGCTTGGACATGGTCTCTTCATTGACCCATATTTCTACCATGCTTTAACATAACCTTCAGCGTTTTTACTGCAAATGTATCTACTCATTTTCTTCTTCAAGAACTTCACATTTATATCTAACATACCCTAATGACTGACAATTATTTGTCTACATCATTTTTATTCCAAAACTACAATACACTTGATCAATGTCTGCTCAACCAAGCTTGGGGACAAATGAGTGAAATAACAACCCTTGACCAGGCTACATAGCAGGGCTTGGGGTTTGAGGCCAGTCTGGTCCATAGAGGGTTACTTCAATAGAAAAAAATCTAATACCTATATCCTAATTGCACATTTTAATAATGTACAAATTTTTCATTTCTTCATATCTATCTATCTATCTATCTATCTGTTATTCAGTCTTCCTTGAGGTTTTATAATAATAAAATGCAAGCAGTAATGATGGCTGCTGTCAAATGAGGTGGAATCAGGTGTTGGATAGGCCTCCATTCTCTGATTCCTTTTGCCCTGGTGCATAGTTTCATTAACCAAGAAACATACATTAACTGCACAATGCAAAAACAGCATGCATTAAGGTCCCTAATAGTCATCTACAAATTGAACCTGTAGAGCCTATTTTTTCTTGGTTACTGGCCTCATTTCTTCATGTATGGAATAATCTAAATGCTCCTATTAACCTGATATTATGGCCATATTATTTGATTCCTTTGGTTTTTTTAAATAAAATATCCTTTCCTAAAACACAGCAAAAAAAAAAAAAACCATTAATACTATTGCTCATAATGAACAGTAGGGATACAAGCAACAAAGAGGGGAATCACAAAAGAACCTGTCCTCTCTGCTACGTCTATTCTGAAAAGTACAGAGCAGAGCAGAGGATGAAAAATTACACTGACTTCTCCAATCCCTTCTTGTCTTCTTATCCATTGTTATAGACCTTGGAGTCCTAGACACATGGCATTCATCATCTGCAACTTATTCACTGGCGGTTGTCACCATTGGTCCAGGGAAGGCCCAATATCCTTTCACTTATATTTCCATATTGTGTGCTGACTAATCTATTAAGTCATTAATAATATTCTGAAAGACTATGATTAGAAAAATACAGGAAGACCATAGCTGTTGTAACCCAGAATGATGTGTTGGTGCCATATATATCTTCAGTTAATTATCCTTAACTTATCATATAGTATTCAGGATGATTATTCATTTTAATCTAAAATGCAAAAATGGCTTAAGCTGGTTGTACATGACTACACCACAAAAATTTTAAAAATACAGTGAATTCCCCCTAAATAAACCACCCAACCCAAAAATGGGAATTATAAATAATACTTACATCATCCTCAAGGTTCCTGGCAGAGGTGGACCATGAAGAACTTTACATGGAGAATCCCATTGGCTCATACAGGACTATAGGGAAGAGAAGGCAAAAGAACACATGATTATACAAAAATTTAAGAAAAAAATTGAGATATTCTCCCATTGGCCCTTAACTTAACTTTGGTTTAGAGTGCTAATCCTCAGCCTTCTGATACTGTGCCCCTTTAGTACAGTTCCTCATGTGTGGTGAACCCACCCATAAAATTATTTTCATTGCTAATTCATAACTATAATTTTGTTACTTTAGGAATCATAAAGTAAATATCTGCTATGCAGGATGTCTGATGTATGACCCTTGTGAAAAGGTTGCATGCCAAAGGTTGAGAACCAATGGTTTACAGTCATTTATGCACTCATTAACTTAACAATATAAGGTTTTTTCCTCTTAAGAAAAGAGTTTTAAATTTCCCATATACTGATAACACTGGCTTTACCATATAAACTCTGAAATGTCATTAACCAAAGAAGGACTGGTAAGGGAGTAGGACATCGGAATCAAGATCTTACTTGTATGTTTTCTTAACACATTATAATGTTCCAAGTCATGGATTTTTGTAGTTAGACGGTATTTCATTAATTGAGTGATTGATGTTTTCATTCATCTAATTTTGACACAAAGGCCAGGACCAAGAGTCTTGGATATTGCCAAGTCTGTCCTACAGACGCCTTCTGATGAGACAATGAACTCGATTTCTTTTGCATTAGACTCTAGAGTGCAGGCATATTTAGTCACCAAACAAGGCTCATTTGACAGGAGAACCATCACTGGCTCATGTTTGCCTTTTTAATTATAACATTTCTATTTTTATTCTAAGCTATTAATTAAAGTAAATCAATAAACATGATTCATAAGCTCAGACTATGACGCCTGGCACATCTGACCTCTCTGTCTTTCCAAGGAGACCAACATCCACTGCTCATTTTAAATCAAATTATTTATTGTCTTTCGTATGAGGATGTTTTTTCTTCAGTTTTCTATATTACTATGGCTTTTTAACTCTCTCTCTCTCTCTCTCTCTATATATATATATATATATATATATATATATATATATTCTGTGAGAATTTCATATATGTATACAGTGTATTTTGCTCATATCCAGCACCCTGCTCCCTCTGGGATGACCCCTATGTCTCTCTCAACTTTATAGCCTCATATAACATATGGAGTCTAAAATTAGTGCTACCCAAATGTGTGTGAGTGTGAATCCAACCACTGGAGCATGGTCAAGCAACTAGGCTATTAAGCCCTTGTCAGATTCTATTCAGACACAAATTAATTTTTTTTAAAAAACAATTGACATTGTGGATGGAGCAAAAGACATTGCTGTAAAGAGAAACAATTCTGACACAAAAGGACAAGAAGTACATGAACTCATTCATGTTGAAAAGTGACCTCTGGGCAGTTGGACGTCGAATGGCAGTTACCAGAGACAGAGGATGCAGGAAGGCAGAGGTGGTGAAGTAGAGTCAGTGGAGGCTGAGTCACTGTGTGGCTTTGGTGTGACATTTGGAGGTAACATTAGGTGACAACCAGATTACTTCTCTTTCTCTACTTCATATCAGTTAGTTGATTAATTCATAGATTTAAAAGTAAATGTAATAAAATGCAGACCCCTGAACTACGATGTTTCTACATAACTGCTTCCAGAGAGTTCAGATGTATGGTGTAACCTACATTGGTTCATATACCAAGGACTCTGTGCAATACAGAATAGCAGTCTAGTGTTTACCATAGGCACATTTCAGCTTCTCTGGTTAACTTTCATTCTCTTTAGAAGTCAAAACAGTCACAGCATATTATTGTGCTCCATTTTCATGCTTTTGATACATGTGTGTAACCATGGAGCTCTAGACCATGGAAAGATGTGTCCCCTGGCTCAGAGCATCCAGGCCCAGGACATAAAAGAAAAAACAGCTCATTAAAAAGATGGGCTAATCTATTTTAATTTTGCTTATCATTCTTCCCTCACTTGGTTATTTAGCAAGTCATTATTTGGAGGCTCTTTATGCTACTTTCCCTGACCCAGACATTGACTATTATCTATTAATTATGCTGTCTACCTCATCTCTAGCCAAAGAGGACATGAACGCACAAAAGTTATTTCTACCCAGGCAACAATGCTTTCAAACTAACAGAATGGAAATAAATGAGCATGCAAACTGAAAGCAAATATATTCCATTTCACTGACACATTTACTTCAAACATTGAAAATTGGACACAAAGCTGGGCCCATTATGCATTGACCATCAGTGATCCAGGACAGAGTCTGCTTTTCTATATTTATTTCTACTTTCCATAGTAATCAATTAATAGAATTATAAGCCCTATGATAGACAACCACTTCCAAATGGGGCTAATATTACTAATCTATGCATGGACTTTCTCTAACATCGACATATCTATTACATTAGTCCACACAGTTTCCATATTTTCATTATGAATAAAAATTTTCATATAGTCCCTATTTGTACCATTGATATTTAGTTGGCCATTTGTCCAAACTTGGGCACCAAGACAACTCCTCAGAGCGACTGATTTGGGAACTTCAGTATTTACAAATTATATTAATAATATTTCTTGCCTCCCCTTCAAGTTTTTAAAAATTGGACAAAGTTCTTCATGTTTCTTTATGGAATTAAAGTGTAAATTTGGCTATTGACTTTTTATAATAACAATCAAAATTCATGAAGCACCAAGCTCTAAAGAACATGACCTTGTGTGATAGTTGGTGTCTCCACAGGAACAGTCAGTCCTAGCAAAGCTAAGACAACAGATCTGTCTCTGAACTAAACCAGAGTTTCTGAGATGAATTAATTATTCATCACATATCATGAGTTCATAAGGTCATTGTCTTGGGTCAGGATTTCAACTCTTCCTCTCCCTTCACTACAGTTATTTACTTATTTTCCAATTTGTTAACAATAATAAATACCTGCCTTCCAATATAGTCAATTTACTGTTGTATCCAAAAGAACTATCTCTCTGGAGTCATTTCACACACAAGCATATCTTTCTGGAATCAATCTCAGTGTTTCAATGTCCACTGAAGAACAGATATTGTATTGATCCCTTGGCAACTTCTGGCTTAATTTATTGACCACATAAATGCATTTCCAAAACAATTGGGTGAATGTTTTTAATAAAAGCTAACGTTGAAAAAAATTACCCTATCACTGATTTTCATCTCTGTGTTCTTAGCACCTGGATTTTGCAACCATGCTTTAGTTAGCTCGTTGCATTTATTCTGTAGCACATATGCAGTGATGCTAATAAAATATTGAAAGATAACAAGGGTAGTCTCACTTAAACCCAGCAGTCAGGAAGCAAAGGGAAGTGGATCTCTGTAAGGTCAAGGCAGTCTGGTCTACATACAAAATCCCGGGGTTACACAGTGAGACCCTCTCTCAAAACAACAACAGCAATTTTTGAGAAACCAGCTATTTACAGAGCATTCCATTAATGCATGCCTTTCGAATTCCATTTCCTTAATCATTTTAGTATTTGTTACTTTGTGGTATGGTCTCTTTTTTGTTGTTTTGTTTTCTTTGTTGTTGTTGTTTTTCTTAAGCATATAAATACTTCACCTCTTCATAGACCCAAAATAAGAACCCTGACTATTCCATGTCATTATTCAACCCACTTACCCATACCACAAAAGGCAGGCTCCCCCAATCCACTCCGTGCTTAGTGATCGTCAAGGAGCCTAAGATACATTAATAATGATCTGGCCTCACCATGTGCTTTCAGGCTAGCATAGACGGTTCTCTTCACTTTATACACAGTTGGTGTTTGCTGTTTCATTTGCTGATTTTTAATAACAAAATCTAACCCTATGATGTGACAAAGACTGAGAGGATGATCCTTGAATATTACTAAAATCTGTGTGCTCATCCCCACAGAGATAAACATGCAAATCCCTGCTTGCAACAGACCTCAGAAGGTCAGGGGCACTTTGGTCATCAAAACAGTTGGGAGGAAAGGCACTCCTCCCTTGCTCGGGCCTGTTTAATGTGTGGGTTCTTCCAATTTACAGCATGAACCACCACCAGCTCTCTGACACTGAGCATCATTTCCCTTTCTGTACTCCTGACTCACAATAAAAGTACCATGCACGTCTATCCCTACACGAGAGGGCATCAATGTTTTTACATGCGTGCACACTCACATGCATGCTCGCACACTCAAGACATGAAAGTAAAAAGGGGGGCCAAATGGGAAAAGGAAGGGATCAGAGGGATAACAAATGCTAACTGGGGCACGGTTGTGGTCAAAGTGCCTTAGGTCTACGTGAATATAGCATGTTGGAGCGTGCTACTAAGTACAATTAGTATACGTTAGTAAGAAGTGGGGGATAGAAGATTGCCTTTTTTGGGGGGGGTGAGTTGGCCACTTGCAGGTTGCCCATGCTCCAGTGGAGGGCCCTACACCTAGATAGGTGTATCTGGGAGGTACTATTTTGAGGATATGGCTTAAAAAATAAAAATAATTTAAAACTACCTAAAGGTATGAAACTGGTTGAGAGATGTGTTTGGGAGTCTGGGAGCAGATGGGACAAAGCCCCATTGTGTGCATATATGAAAAATTTTAAATTGTGCTAATATTTACATTTATGTACCTT